AGTCTTTTGTGTAATGGTCTTGAGGTTTCTCCTATATAAAATTTATTGCATTCGCAAGGAATTTTATAAATTACATGTTTTGTATTTTCAATTATATCATGAGGTTTTGTTACTGAAATTCTACTTCTAATTGTATTTTCAGTTTTGAAGATAGTCCTAATATTAATTTTTTTACCTACTCGTTTAATTTGATCTGAAAGTCCTGAAAAAAAATCTAACCCAAAAGGGTAGATATTGAAATTGGTGTCAGCTAAAGGGCTTTTAAATACATCGGCAAACTTTTCGAACGTGTACTTGGCCGAAAGTTTTAATGGGATAGCGAAAGTTGGAAACTCGACTTTGTGCAAATGTTAAGCACGTCGTTGAAACTGAAAAAAACTATGTATGAAGTTTGCTTGAAGAGTCCAATGAAGGAATTAAGCCCGTTTTTTCTATGGCCAGGTCGAGGACTTGGACATGCGAATTGGAATTCATTCTGGTTCGGTTTTATGCGGAGTTTTGGGCTTGAGAAAGTGGCAATTCGACATTTGGTCGTACGATGTTCGCCTGGCAAACCACATGGAATCTGGAGGGAAACCAGGGTGAGTTTTCCATCCTTTCACGTTGATATGCTTGGATTGCTGCATGTCTTTTTTAGCCAAGTTCACATTTCTGAGGCAACTTTCCACTGCCTCAACGGCGCTTATGAGGTCGAACCAGGCAATGGTCAGGACCGGGATTCTTACTTAAAAGACAACAACGTGACGACCTATTTAATCAAGCAATGCGAGCCCATGCCGCCTCGAAGACGGCTGGCCTCCAGGCCAAGGCAAGAAATTGCAGTTTTCAAATTGAACCAGTGCAAACTCACGAAATTTGCAGCATTTTCTCCAATAAGCTCTGGCCAGAGGAGGAAATGGTCAGCAATCTGAGCATCCCGAAGAGCCCGAGCTTTCCTTCCTCGCAACCGCCCTCAAGAGAAAGAAGCGACAGCGGCATTCAACATAGCGCCATTGATGATGAAACTACTACCGACTGGACTCCGGAAATTCCCTTCGAAAATGTACGTTTTGGAAACAGCGTTTTTTACCTTGCAAATAATCCCGGATTGTTTAGCTGCACAGATCAATCTCTGCAGACCTGGACGAGGCTCTAGAGCCGAAGGGCAAGCAGAAGTACGAGCTGAATGCCCCAAAGAAAGTCTTCGCTGAACAGGTGGACGATATAATCGATCACAGCATCGAAATTGAAAGCAACAAGCGAATGAGAAGCGCCAACGTCAATCCCTGGACCTTAAGATTCATTGACAAAGACATGGAGTACCAAGTAGGCAGATGGCGATCAAACCAGCCAGTTTTAACCATAATTTATTCCACTTTCAGTTCAGCCAACTAAGGGAAGACATGTTCAAGTCCAACATGCTGTGCTGCTACATTATCTGGCTGTTTATTGTGATATCGCAATTCGTCATCACATTGTCCCCGTTGGTGATTTGGCTGATGGTAATCGTCACCGTCTTCCTCACGGCTGCTTCCGTTCTGGTTATGGCCGAAGAATTCCACCAGTTCCCCCAATATCTGCAAAAAATCTCCTCCACTTTGGTCCACAATCGCAACACGAGAACAGCCTTCATTTGCATGGTGATAATCGTGATGGCGCTGAGCAGTTCGGTCAGTCTCTTCAAAAGCTATCCGGCTGGATGCAGCGTCAGCGACGATCCAGCTAATGATACTTCAACCAGTGCCACCACTGCGGCTCAAGTGCAGGCTGCATTGCTGCTGCAGAAAACCGTAGTCGATGTTCCAGAGATCGAGGTGAAGAATCTCGAACAAGAGCTAACGCTGAATTTGACTTTGAGCGCCAAACTCAACACGGGGATCACGTTGAAGAACGTGAATTGCACCGGGGAATGCTTGAAAGCCTTTGTTGATAAGTTGCACTATTTGTTCTCGAACGATTCCAGCGACACCGTGCTCAAGTTCAGCAGCTCAGAGAGAAATATTACGCAGATTTTGCTGGGGAAGCGCAAAAAACGCTCGTTGAACCGACCGGGAAACCTTGATAGAATCGATGCGATTTTGCTCAAAAGAAGCCACTCATCCAAGCCCCCAGTTGAACAAAGTAGACCGAAGAGAAGTGTTACAGTTTCAAGCGATTTGGAAACGACGACTTTTTTAGCTGATGTGACCTTTGCGGAGCCTTGCAGCGACTCTTCCTACTGCAAACATCCAGAATACATTGTCTTCACATGGGTGCTCTGCATGATCGCTCTGGCCACTGCTCTGAAGCTCTATTATTTAGTGAAACTGATGCTGACATTGCTGATGGTTGGCGTTTACACTATTCTGATCTTGGTGCCATACAAACCGTTCTTCGACCAAGTGAACGCCATTGTAACCGATGGGTAAGTTTTAGGAAATCACTATTTGTTCTTTAGTTAGAGGGTTTCAACTCTCCTGCCGCACCATTCCCAAAACGTGCGTGAGTCAAAAAATTAAGGTTTAAACAACACAGTTTTCTTGATTTACGTCCATCTAAAGGAATTAAGAAAACATGGATAGTTATTTTTTTACAAACTTCTTTTTGGGTATTTCACCTCAAAAATTTTTGTCTTTAAAAATCATTTAAATTTTTTTAATTTAAAATTTTTAAGACAGAATTTCCTCACGTCCTTTATTACAGATTGATAAATAGTTATAATAATAATAATCAAATCACCCGAAAATGGTTAAAAAAGGTATCGTAAAAAGTCTATATGACAAAAATATTTTGTAATCAATCTAATTTTTCCAAAGAAAACAATTTATAAAAGAAATTCTAAATTTCAATAATTATCCAAATTCTTTTATTGAAAAAAGTTTTAACGAAATTGAATTCCCACGAACAAAACAAAATCAAAATAAACCTATTACGAACTTTTTCATTCCATTTATTCCAGGACTTTCAGATCAA